GGGACCACAGGCGCCCGCCACAACGCCGGGCCATCTCTTGGTTGCAGCCATCATTGTTTGGTGGATGGCGGCTGGGGATTCGAAACCCACACCTTAGGTGTATGTGGCTGGCGCCTTAGCCGCTTGAGCGACAGGCGCCGAGCCAGAGCAACCATTTTAATGGTAAGGATAAACTGTCTCTGCTAGATTTACTGAACGGTAGTATATTAATTTCTGATAGGCTGCATTTAATGTGCATTGCAGAAAATTTGAAGGATTTTCCCACTGATAATTTTAATTATATAAAAATTCCCTATCATATGCTAATTTTAGAACTTAGCTTACATATAAGGGGTGGATCCATACTAATTTGTATCCTTAAAAAGACACCTGCTATTACTATATGAACTCAATATTCAATGCCAGTAATTAAAAAGAAAGGCAGAACAAAAGAGATACAAATTCAGCAAGACATGTCGCAAGCAGCAGGAATCAAAGTGGCTTCTAGCCAGTGCTCCACACAAACAAGTAAATAAGGATGTTTTTTTCTTTTCTTTCTTTTTTTTTTTTTTTGAGACACAGAGTTTCACTATGTAGCCCTCAGTAGAGTGCTATGGCATAACAGCTCATAGCAACCTTCAACTCTTGGGCTTAACTGATTGTCTTGCCTCAGCCTCTCAAGTAGCTGGGACTACAGGCATGTACATGGCTGGCGCCTTATGACCCGACTTTTAACATCATCCCAGATCATACTGAGTCTCTGCTATATCATTATTTCTTCCTTTGGTATAAAATGATAAAAATTCCTAAATAAAAAGGAAAATCCTTGGTCCTTATCTTGGTTTCAGGTTCTTTTCTAGGGTCCTTCCCAGGGGTCTGGGTTCCTTTCTAGGTGTTCACAGACTGTTCTGTAAAGGAACAAGTCATGTCTTTAATCCTTTGCAGAGTAAACAGTCTCTACTGTAAAGGCTCAATTCTGTCATTACACCATGAAAGCAGGTACGGATAATATGTAAATCAGTTGATGCGGCTGTGTTCCAATAAAACTTTATGAGCTTTCTTTTCTTTTTTTTTTTTTTTTTTGTGACAGAGCCTCAAGCTGTCCCCCTGGGTAGAGTGCCATGGCATCACAGCTCACAGCAACCTCCAACTCCTGGGCTC